TCCAGACTCTTCTCTCTGAGCCCTCATCAAATTACTTGTTGAAGTGTTATCTCCAAGCCCTTGCCTCTCCTGCTGCTAGATCCAAAGCTACTTCCATATTTCCAGATACTTTAGCATTGTCTCCCTTCTGACTACCAAAATGCTTGCTTACAAATGGGCTGAAAGCTTGTTTTTTTTTTTTTTGTTTTTGTTTTTGTTTTTTTTCTCAAAGTTTCAGAAGATGGGAAGGGCCAACACATTCTTGGTGTACAGCGAGGGCCTACTTACTGGTTTATAGACAGCTGGTTTTTCTGTCTCCTCCCACATCGGAAGGAGTGAGGGAACACCCCAAAGTCTCTCTTATGGCGTGTTTCATCCAACTTCTCAGCCCTCCACCCTCATGACCCATTCACTCACCTCCCAAAGGCTTGTCTCCTGATGATACCATTGTATGAAGGGCCAGGATTTGTCAGCATTTATAAGTTATTTTGTTGTTGTTGTTGGTTGGTTGGTTGGTTGGTTTTGTTTTGTTTTTTGAGACAGTTTCTTATGTAGCCCAGGCTAGCCTCAAACTCTATATGCATTCAAGGCTGGCCTTGAAATCCAAACCATCCCGCTTCTACCAATCAAGTGCTGAGATTTCATCACAGCCAGGAAGGGCCATCAGAGCCACCTGGAGGCGGGGTGATGCCAAGGCATCCTGTTCCTAGTCTTCTCACGAAATCCGAAGTTTACAGCAGTGCCATGGACAGTGTGCTTGGCTGGCTGCCAAGCAGATGCAGGAGATCCCAGGATTCGAAGGCCACTGCTAGGCGACACCCACCAGCACCATTCTTTCCCAAGAATCGGTGAGTTATTCTGTCAGCCCTGTGTTCTCCCACTAGATCGAAAGCTCCATCAAGTGGGCCTGACAGAGTCTTTTTGCACATCATTAAACCCTTTGGGTCTAGCACAATGCCCAGACAATAGCAAATAGCAACCAGTACTTGTTTTTGGATGAACTCCACACATTTAAGTCATTCATGGTTAATGACAATGGTTCCTGCTTTTAAAAGTAGACGATTTTTTTTTTTGCAGATGTAGGCATCTGAGTAGAAGAACCTTGCAAATGTTCCCTCTCTCTCTCTCTATACCATGAGATTTGCGACTTAGAAGCTATGGCTCAGATTACCAGCTACTTATTAACGTCTATTCACTCCTAGCTTAGTAAGAGAACTCCCGCTGAAGCTCAGCAGACTGCCATTATGACTCGGGACATACCCCAGCTGCCTAGAAGTCAGGGTGACCAACTTGTGGACACCTAAGGGAAGGCATTACATGGAACTTCTGCAACAGAAGAGATTGTCATATCCTTACTTGTCACAGTGCCCACCGCCTTCCGGGCTAACCTGAAATGGCACTTCAGCAGCAACACTAAACCAAGAGGTGACCTAGGGAATTAACAGCTTTGCTTTAAAACAATGAAGCGGAGCTAGGCACAGCAACACACACCAATCATCCCAACAGAGATCGGAGAATCATACAAGTTCTAGGTCAGTCTGGCTATAGAGCAAGTTCTAGGTCACAGAGGTTATATAGTTAGACCCTGTTTAAAAATAAACAATAAAATAAAATGGCAGGGCAGAAAGATAGGCCTGTGTCCACTTAGTGGCCAGAGAGCAGCCATTCCAGCTCTGGACTTCCTAATTCCAGGCCATAACAAATCCTCCTGTCTGCTTCCTTCTCTTTCCTTCTCTTCTTCTATGAGAGAAGACACTGGCCTCTGTGATTAGGTCTCTTTGATAAGAAGCCAAACACCATTGCTGTTAATCCCTCCTCTGAGTGAGGAAGAGAGGTTCAGCCTCTCCCACGGTCAAGGGGTGGCCACGTACCCCTAGGTTCATTATGCTAATTCACGTGGCTTTCTGCCACTTGCAAACAAGAATCCAGACTGAGCCTGGGATGGCAGTGCATAGCTGTAATCCCTCTACTCAGGAGGCTGAGGCAGGAGGTTCTCAATAAAGAGACTTCCTAGTGAAACCCTGTTTTGAGACCCAAATAGGGAGTCTGCCCATGCTAAGACATGGCTACAAGGAGATCAGGATGGACATGCAGACAAAGTATTAATGGAAACAGCCAATATTTACTGAGCCCTTACAGGGTGTTAGACAATGTCTGGCAACATTACTGAGCATGTCTCTTTTGGGTTGTTAGCCTAGCCTTTAATGGCTGAGCCATCTCTCCAGCCCGACCACATCTTTTTATCTCCCCAGTAATCCCACAGGTTGACACTACTAGGTCCATTTTACAGATTAGGAAACTGAGGCACAAATGGTGGCTGTCCCCAGACCACACATCTCATATTTTAAGCCAGGTGGGGTATATAACCTTTATGACAATGCCAAGGTCCTCTTAGCTGAAGTTCTAATTTCCCACTGGCAAAGGCTGAGGCTCCAGGCCCCTTGTCTATGTGGGGTCCAGTGGCAGAGTGAGGAGCAGGAAGAATGTGTCAGGGTGTGTCTGTGAAGCTCCCACCACAGCAACAGGCCAGTTACCACTGGTCTTTGAGAACAGTACAGGAAGGTCCAAGTGATCTGCAACATCGCCAACCTGGTGCTGTGCTGGTGGAAGACTGGCATGTTCTGTTCCCATGGTAAACACAACACCACTGGTATGTGCCATGTGTGGGCGGACATCGCCGTGGGAGCTCAGGGCCCCTGGGTTCAGAGCTGCTGGTGCTGGGTGAGTCAGCTGCTGCAGAACTTTCTGGCACAACTACAGCTACAATCAAAGGAGCACTAAAGGGACAGGGTGCCAACACCCAATCCGCTAGCGCATCTTTCTCTTGTCAACAGCCATCCCTCACCCACAAGGCTCACATTCAGCCAGCATCCACCCACCTATTTAGCCCACACACAGGTGACTCAGACGGCTGTACCCCAGGAGGGCGGCTGACTGTCCCCTCTTAATTCATCCCAGCCATCCCCACTGGTGACAGACTCCTTGCTTACACAGCTCAGTACATGGCATATCCCTGGAGAATGCCAGTCAGTCCTGGGAGACTCAAGCTAGCCCGATTAGACTGACCAGAGGAAGCACGGAAAGCACTCACTGTCACCACTGCTGCCGGAAAGCCTCTTTCTCTCTTTTAGAAGTGAACAAAGGTGGAGTCCCAGTTTGCACTGGCAGCTAGCTTGAGGTTGTGAAGAGCAGACAAGTGCAAAGCTGCCTCTGCACCTCAAAGAAATGCTCTGCAGGCACCAGAGGATGAGGTGCCCTTCTAGGTGAAATAAAACAGGAACCAAGAGGGTGGTGGGACCCAGATGGGGCAAGCAACACGGAGGACCCTGTCGCCCATGCTGGAGAGATGGCCAAGCAGGTGGGGGAGGGTCTTCAGAATGACCCCATAATCCTTTCAGCTCCCAAACACTCAGAGAAAGCCACCCGCATGCCCGAATGCTCCATTAATAGGATTCTCTGCCTTCATCACCATCCATCAGCTGAGGAGGGAGCAGAAGGAATCAGGAAGCTACAGCCTCTAGGGCAAACCACTGGCGACATAAAAAACACACAGCTCTCATCCCAACAGAGATGAGAGTTTATTCTGGAGGGAGCATTTAGCTCACCCCAAATTCCATGTTCCAACACAGTAACAGTTTTATGAAGTGTTAGCAGTAACAGAACAAAGAAAGTAGATAAAGCAACACACTTAAAATACAGTCATTGAAGGTCTGGAGAGATGGCTCAACAATTAAGAGCACCGGCTGCTCTTCCAGAGGACCCAGGTTCAATTCCTAGCATCCACAACAGGCTCACACCCCCCCCCACCCGTAACTCCAGTCCCTAGGGATCTTACCCACCTATAGCCATCCTTGCCCAGGTAAGAGCAGGGGCCAAGGTCTCTGTCCCCAAAGGGATGAAGGATGGCTACTCAGAGTCCTCAGCGGGGACATGCCTTGGTACCCGAGTTTACCCTCTCTCTGATGCCCCTAATTGGAGTCTCCTTTCCCTAGCACCTTACAGGAATCACCTCCTTCTACAGCCCTATCTTCTAACAGAGGTTACAACAGGTCCCAGCCCTCAAGCGCTTTTAGAACCCTTTTCCTGCGGCCTGGGAAAGTTTGTATCAGATTCCAGAATAGAATGGTACAGAGACCATGCTGTCCAGCATCTAGGCTGACTTGGAAGCCGCCCAGCCTCTCTAGGGACACTCATTGCTGGAAACCACGTGCCTGCTAGGAGGAAGCACAAGTCACAGGAGAGGGGCTATACAGCTGTTGGTGCTGACACCCACCATGACTCTTGCCAGATTCTTGCTGTGTAGTCAGGTGATTTGACTTTCGGGATTTTTTTTTTTACTTTGGATTTTTGTTTTTTCTTTCCCTCTAGTGGGCCTACTTTGAGGAGGTCCTTCAGTAACCGCACCTACTTCTACTTCCTGGTTATACTTTGAGGATTTTCGACACATAGAACTTCAGGGCAAAATCATAGAATCAGCTTAACTCCGGCAGGCGCTGTGGCTAGTTACTGTCGTTTAGCCCAGGGTAGCCCGCGGTGGAATCCAGAGCGTTCCACGGGGCAGTGTTGCTCGGATTTGGACATCGGCTCACCCACTCCGTTAGCTCCATATTTTGTGGGTGGCTGGGTGGGGGTGACAGACCTTTACTGCGCCAGTTTCCTTCTCCGGCTAGCAGGGTCTCTCTGAAGTGTGAGTAGGTCACCACACCTGCTTTACCGTGTCGGGGGTCACTGTTCCCAGCTCCCACTGAGAGCTGACTCATCCTCGCTGGGCGAGTCTGACCGCCAGCGTCCTCGCCACTTAGGGCCTGAGTCACCACGCTGTGCGTCACCGGCGCCTCTGCTCCGCGACCTGCAAACTCACCCTGAGTCAGCGGCCGGGCGCGCCCACCGACCGCATCCGGGGGTGGGGCGCCGCAGCGGGCAGCGAGCAGTTAGATGGGCGTGGACCACGGGACTTCGATCGGGCGGCGCGGGGGCCGGTATGATCACTTCGCGAGCCGAGCCACTCGGCGGGACGGGAGCAGCGCCGTCGCACCCCCCCGCGGCCGCGCGATGGTACAGCCCGGCCGGGTAAAGCGACTGGGCGGCGCTGGCAGCCAAGGAAGCGCTATGGGGCTGCGCGCGGGTGGAGCGCTCCGGGGAATGAGCGCCAGGCCCGGGGCGCCGGAGGGACGGGGACCCGGGGGCGCGCAGGGAGGCAGCATCCACTCTGGCTGCATCGCTGCGGTACACAACGTGCCAATCAGCGTGCTCATCCGGCCGCTGCCTTCCGTGCTGGACCCGGCCAAGGTGCAGAGCCTCGTGGACACGATCCTGGTGAGCCCGCGTGAGGGAGAAAGAGAGGGCGCGCGGGTCGGCGGGTCGGGGGGTCCTTGATCTGCGGAGAGCTCAGCTTGGCCTGTGTGACCTTGACGGACCGGCCGAGTCTCCCTGGGCCTCGGGTTTCTCACTTGGACTTGGCCATAAAATAATGATCCGTGACGCACGTACTCAAAAGTGCTGCGGTCGCCCTGAGCTGATTTTATCTTCTCGGATCAACTCTGTGAAGTAGCTTCTGTACCTTCGGTACAGAGAACGAACTGGGGCACAGGCAGTTTGGGTTTTCTAGTTCAACTGCACAGGCAGTTGGTTTTCTAATTGAAAACTGGGTTTTCAATTGTTTTGTTTTAAAACAATTTGCCCCTAGGTCAAGCGCTGACCAGATGGTACAGTAAGACTTTACACCTAGGCAAACTGGGCATCCTGGCCGTGACAATCATGGCAATGACCTGGGTGTGCCTGTGGGAAGGATCTTGTCCATACAGGAAGTGGGAGAAGACAAAGATCGGCGTATCACAGAAGGAGGGTCCCCTCAGGAACCAAGGGTTGGAGGACATTTGTGTTAGGTTAGGCCTGCAGGGCTTCCCATCCCTTCTTGCGGATTCTTGAGCAGTGGACCCCGAGGCCCCGTAAGTCCCCGGGATCTTTTAGTCCTAAAATTTGCACCCTTGGCTTCCTGTGCACAAAAGCAGGGCCTTTGCCCCTTGTGTGGTTGCCCTGGAGATGACTGAGATCCTGGGATGCACTGTGAGTACCACTCAGCCTGTGCATGGAGTTACCCGACTCCAGGAAGCGCTTCCATCTGTGCGCGTGGTGCTAGGAATAGCTTTGGCACATTGAGCAGGAGGCACCACCATCGCACTGCAGCTCTAGCTTCTCATCGCTTTGTTGCTTCTGACTCCTTAGTCTGTCTTGGCATCAGTGTCTGCCCTGCTCACCCTATGTGGGTCAGGCAGTCTGTGTGACCTCACAGCCACCTGGGTGCCCCCTAGCACAGCTGGAATCCTGGTGGGCTTTAAAGACCAGTTTGGACACCTCTCTCCCATGCTGGAGCCACAGGCTCTGAAGACAAGGACCCGTCTGCCTCGGCCACCCGCATATGTTGCCACATACAGGATTGCCTAAAACAAGACCCAAGTCCAAAGTTGTGTTTTGTTGCTGTTTTTAAGGCAGGGTGAGTCTCCTTATAGCCTAGGCTGGCTTGGAACGCATCCTCCTGTTTGTCTCCCAAGTGCTGCCATTACAGGTGCACTCCACCAGGCCCAGGTCGAAGACTATCTTATTGAGCTAAAGTAAGAAACCATCAGGGCCATTTTCTTAAGGCCCTGAGAAGTCTTAGCTACTTTTCCTTTTGCTGTTACAAAACACCCTGACAAATGTGACTTATGGGTGAAAAGCGTTTCTTTGGGCTGACAGTGCATCTTGTCAGGGGGAGTCCTGGTGGCTGAAACTCCAGTCAGACTGATGAAAGCCCACTCGTACACAGCTTGCTTCCTTCTCTTTATACAGTTCAGGATCCTAGCCTAAGGACTGATGCCACCCACAGTGGGCGGATCTTCCCATCTCAGTTAACCTAACCAAGACAATCCCCCACAGGCGTTCGCAGAAAGGCCCACCTCCAAGCCACTCAGGATTTCATCGAGTTGACAATTGAACCCCTTAGCTGAGGGCCCCTCCCTCATCTTCAAGGCAGCAGGAACTGGTAGAGGCCTTCTCATTTCAGGTCAACACAAGGCCTGCCATGTGCAGCTGTCTAGGGCTCGGTGACCTCAACCACTGATGTGCTGGTTGGACGTAAGAGAGCGTCTTCACAGCACAGGTCTGTCGCTGCTCTGCAGAGGACCTGGGTCCAGGCCTTTGGGCTCTTAATCTAAACTAGTCCGTATCTGTAACTTCCCAAGTGGTTCTGTGCTCCTTGTCACTTCAGAGAGAGAGAGACACGTGGTCCTCCTTTCTGGCTTGTCACCCATGAGACTGTCTTCAGAGCGCTTGTCACTCCATTATTCCTGTCTTCCTTCAGTCTGTTTCTGGGACCCACACCCCGTCAGAGTGAGACTGTTCTTGCCTCCTGGCTGTGCTGTGTTCCCCCACGCGTGGCCAAGTGGGCACAGAGTGTATCATTCACATGGATATGGATAAATGCTCCACACGTGGTTTTGGGGGAAGCCCTCACTGCCATTTACAGCATCTACCATTCCTCTGCCGGAAGGTCTCTTGGGGCTGATTTTCAAGCTGCCGGGGTACCACCCACCAGCTTGCAGAACCCTCAGGTGGCTGAGAGCCAGCATGAGCCCTCTGTAGGCGCTCCCCTTGCCTTAACAAAACATTTCACCAGTTCCCAAGCACAGTGGCATGCTTACTCACCCCGTGACCCTTCTCTCTAGGAGGACCCTGACAGCGTGCCCCCCATCGACGTCCTCTGGATCAAAGGGGCCCAGGGTGGCGACTACTACTACTCTTTCGGGGGCTGCCACCGCTATGCAGCCTACCAGCAGCTGCAGAGAGAGACCATCCCTGCCAAGCTCGTGCGGTCCACCATTTCAGACCTGAGGATGTACCTGGGCGCGTCCACGCCAGACTTGCAGTAGCAACCTCCTCATCACCCCAGCCCCGCTTCCCCGAGCTCAGAAGACAGGGGCGGCCCCCAGAGGGTGGGAGCTGCAGCAGGGATGTGTTCCCTTTATACCTAAGGGGAGCTGTCTGCCTCTCGGTGCCTCTGCACTAGCCCCCAGGACCAGGAGTAAGGGGGCCCCGTTCTCCTGTGCGTGAAAAGATATCTTACATGGCCGTGACGCTGAAAGAGAACCAAGAGGAGGAAGTGGGAAAGGAGATGGACATGGAGACATGGACTCCCTCTGTTGTTACCTTTGATAACTCATCACTACATGAACTAGGTACTAGGAAGTAAAGGAAAACCCAGGTCACTGTGGCTTAAGGGGGAGAGGCTGGTTTTCCCCATAGCCTGAATCCTGGCTTGTGTCAAGCTATCTGTTGACAGGTATTGTGTCAAGAGCTCAGTGAAGGTAGGGCTTCCTCAGTAATCCTTTGGCCTTGCCCTCATTGCTCCTTACTTCCTAGCCACAAGATGCTTGCTGTATTTCTAGGAATCATGTCTATGCTCAAGAAAGAAACCCACTGGACCAACTTTTATCAGAAAGGAAAACCTCGTTTAGAGGTTCAGGGTCCTGGTCTCTGCATATTTGTGCAGTGTCCTTGGTCTGAGCTAGCCATCATCGCCGCCCACAGTTACAGATGTTAGGGAGTGCTGTCACGCTGAGCATGGCTGCCTTGTTGGCCCCCTGGAACTGGCGCTGTGCCTCCTGCAATAAAACTGGGATCCCCTTAGCAGGAAAGGAAGAAGTGTGTCTCAGTTAGCCTTTGCTGCGAAACAAGCCATCCCCAAACTTAACTGCTGAAAAAGTACTCGTTTTCCCGTGATTCTGTGGGTTAGCATTTGGGGCTAGGCTCCCCTGGGCAGCTCTGCTGGGATGGCTGGTCTTATTCATGAGCCCACAGTGAAGGGTCACTTCAGCTGGGACTGCTTGGGCTGGGACCACCTCAGTCCATGTTGTGGCAGTTGGGTTGGCTTGGTTATTCTTGTTGCCCCTCTATCAGGTCAGCACGGGCTTATTCTGAAGATGCCTCAGGGTTCCGAGAGTGAGAGCAGCGGAGACAAGGCAGGGGCTGGAGAGGTGGCTCAGCTGTTAAGAGCACCCACATGGTGATTCACAACTGTAATGCCAGTCCCAGATGACCTGGTGGCCTCTTCCAGCCTCTGTGGGCACAGGCATACACAAGTATGCCAAGCACTCAATGACATTTTTTTTTTTTTTAAGTGACAAGATTTCTCCAACCGTGGCGCAAGGACAGTGTCACTGATGCTCAGTTCATCCCTCAGATTTAAGGGGTGCGAATGGACCCAGCTCTTGATGGGACTGTAAAGAACACAGGGCCATTGTTTGTCACAGATGAATCTTGGTGGGCAAGTGACAATTTCTCACTCTCACACGTAAGCACTCCTCATGCAAAGGGCCTTGCCAAGTCTTAGCCTTAAGTGACAGTTCTCAAGACCTACAAGTGGTGGCATGGTGTCTCCAAAAGCTGGGTACCCCAGCCCCAAGGGTGACTCCCCAGCAGAATGGGATGTGCAGTGGGGCGCTCCAGGGGGGCTTCTGGGAACAGAGCCTTGAAAGGCTGAGGAGAGGCACAGAAAGCAGCCGAGTGAGCTGGCACTTGCTACACTGCCCAGAGGCCTTAGTCGCTTGTCATTTTTGAACCTCGGTTTTCCCATCTTAACAGTGAGGACAACGGCTTTCCCACCCACTGAGTGTCCCAGAAAGTGAAATTGAAAGGGATAAAATGCAACACGGTGCTTGGACCAAAAAGAGACAGGGAGAGCGAGAGCATTAGCAACGTGGGCTCATATGGTCAGGGATTTAGTTCCAGTTTGGGCAGCCGTACAGCTGGATGGGCTGGATGAAGAATGGAACTTGTTAGTCTCTGCAACTTTCTGTAAATCTAAAGTCATTCCAAAATAAAATTTTATTTAATTAAAAAAAAAACAGACACAATGCAATGGCTTTAGCCCAACAGTTTGGGTTTGATGGACCGTGCCCTTGGAACTTCAGGTCTGGGACCCAGGAATGGGCATTTCTGGAAACAGCTGGGACCCCAGGTACAAATATTTCTAGAAGGTTCTCAGGTGCATTTGCTGTCCAGGGAACACAGCCAGGACTCCGGTCAGATGACACAGCTTTTTTGTACTGGGCCCTTGGACTGTGTCCAGGATACTTGAGCTCTGGACCAGCTTGGGCAGGTATCTCCCTTCCCTGGAAGGAGAGTGGCATGGTTCTCCAAGCTCTGCAGCCCTAACTTTGTGACCAGGGTCAGGAGAGCAGAGGATGTTCTTGCCAGGTCTGTCTTGGAGTGTTGCTGTCTGTAGTGAAGAAACCCCTGTGTCCCTGTGGGGAGAGGTATCTACAGGCCACGCACCCCACCTGAAGGATGTCTCCATTTGGAGAAAACCAACCAACAGGTCTCAAAAGGAGCAGAGGACGGGGTGGAGGTCATTTAAGAATGGCAGCTGGCCCAGACCTGTAATCCCAGCACTGGAGAGGCTGAGACCAGATGACAAGTTCAGCATCAAGACACTTGTGGGGCGCACGCCTTTAATCCCAGCACTCGGAAGGCAGAGGCAGGCGGATCTCTCTGAGTTCGAGGCCAGCCTGGTCTACAGAGAGTTCCAGGGCTGCACAGAGAAACCCTATCTCAAAACAAACAAACAAACAAACAAACAAACAAACATCTTCATGGGAAGCATAGCAAGTTCCAGACCACCCTGGAAAACTTAGTAAAATCCTCTCCCCACATAAAAATACAAAAGGTCAGGAGCTTGGCAGGACAGTATTTGGCTGGCATACCGGATTGGATTCAATCTTCAGAAAGGGAAGGGCGGGCAGGGAGAAAGGGGCGTGATCAATTGGGACTAAGCTGCAGTTTCCTCTTCCACCAGCAAGTGGCGCTGTTTTCCTGTCCCTAGCGCAGAACTGCGGTTTGGGGATTGCGCCGGGCTGGAGGGCTTGGTTCAGGGAGAGGGATTGTGGTGAACTGAATTGAAGCGTGGGTTCCGGCCTGAGGAGGCTCAGGCTCACCCTCGGCTATACTTGTACCTTAGGGGTGCTGGGTTCCTCTACACGAGGCATCTTCAAGAAGCTTTCTGGGTTCTCATGATACCATGTGTCCCTTCTGCTGCCCTCAAGAAAAGGCACTGTGTAGGGGTCTCCGGGGTTCTATGAGGGGTCCCCAAGGCTCCGCGAGGCCCAGGACCAACCCCTCCACGGTAGATTTAGGTTTTATTTTCTCAGCTTTATTAAGACGGTCTAATCTTAATTAGTTACGATTAACTAATTAGTTGATGGTTGCCTGCCTGTAATCCCAGCACCTCGGAGGCTGAGGTAGGAGTATTGCAAGTTTAAGGTAAGCTTAGGCTACGTTGTGAGGCTGTCCTCCCAAACCCTAAAAGATATTAAAAGCTTAAATAATTGTTTCCGGTTAAAACTTCAGTTGAAGTCCATCATGGTTCCTAGACCTGGCTGCCCCTTTAGCCATTTAGGGCAATGAGTTTTGGAACCTGCTCTTCTGGAAGTCTGCCTGTCTGCAGCATTGCGTGTGTGTGTGTGTGTGTGTGTGTGTGTGTGTTGCCTACATGCATGCCTGTTCATCAGTCGTGTGCCTGGAGCCCACAGGGGCCTGAAGAGGGCACCACTCCTCCAGAGCCGGATGCAAATAGTTATGGGCCCCTGTGAAGGGACTGGGACTTGAACCCTGGTCCTCTGAAAGAGCCGCCAGTGCACTGAGCCATCTCTCTAGCACCCTTTTTAAAACGCTGTTTTCGGGTTGATTTCTCTCAGCACTGGCCACTGCCTCCACTGGCAGCTACACTCTTTTCCAGCTCTCTCAGGCTGGTGCCTGCTCCACGGCCAGTTTCTGAATGGCCTCCCCACCTGCTGTTCCCTTTCTGATTTGTTTTCCTCCTCACGCTCTGTGGCTGTCTTCTCTCTCTGCGGATGTCTGCCTTGCCCACTGAGATGTGAGTCTTGGCAGCTCTTCTTCCCCACTTATCACCCTGAGCCCAGCACAGACAGCAGTTGAGCAAATACAGTCCTTGTGAGGGAGACCATTCTTTTTCGATGCTGCCTGGTGTTCCAGGGGATGACCGCATATCAGTCATTCTCCTCTTAGCGGACACTTGGGGGTCCACTGGCTGCTTGATCAAGGTCTGATCTCCACATCCCATGTTGCTATCAGCTAGACACCTAGACGCGGAACAGCTTAACAACACAGTCTCCTGTCCGGTTTCTCCTTATCAGTGACCTCTCTAGATGGGCTGTTCCAAATGCTGCCCAGGCAGAGCTTGGGGACTTTTTTTTTTTTTTTTTTTTAAATTTATTATTTATACACTATTCTGTCTGCGTGTGTGCCTGCATTCCAGAAGAGGGCACCAAATCTCATTATAGATGGTTGTGAACCACCATGTGGTTGCTGGGAATTGAACTCAGGACCTCTGGAAGAGCAGCCAGTGCTTGTAATGTCTGAGCCATGTCTCCAGCCCGCTTGGGGACTCTTCTTCCAATCTACAGCCCTTCCTTTGGATCATGATCATGGTTAAGAATAAAAGAAAGCCCTAAGCCCCTTCCCCTAGCTCGGCAGCTCACAACCACCTGTAATGTCCTCTTCTGGCCTCTGTGGCCACCTCCGAGGGCACATACTCACACACAAGCATGCATATAATTAAAAATACAATTTTTAAGAAAGAAAAACACATTTGGGGCACTTTCTGTGGCCCCCTAAGCTCGACAGATGGCTTTTGGGGCTTTGTACCCGGCACTAAGAGCATCTCTTACAGAGAGGAACAGGCCTGTGCAGATGTGGGGTGAGGAGCTCTGGCTGCAGACCGCTCACTCGGTGAGGATTCTCGAAGCCCCACCAGCCTGCAGCTAGAATAGCCTCTCTGGGTGGTCCCTGAACTGCTTGCTACCCTGGACCTCAGGGCACTAGGCTTCCAATGGGCCGGGACGCAGGTGCCAGTGCTGGAGACAGCAGGCCAGGTCTGGAGTCTGGGCCAGAGGCGACCCTGGGAGAGCCTTGACTGGCCTGGCCTGGCCTGGAAGAGGCCTGAAAGACCTCAGAACTTCATGGTGGGTTTACGGACCACACCTGGTCGCTGAGTCCCCTTTCCCTGTGCAGAAAGGAAGCTGCCTGCTTCCCCACCCCCACAGCCCTGGAGGTGGACAGGGTACACATGATCTTCCCTGTTGCACAGGTAGGAAACCGTGGCTCAAAATGAGCAGCCACCTGCCTGGGTGCTCCAACTCTCTCCGCCTCCTAAGGCGGCGGGGGCGGGGGGCTTGGAGGCTCCTGCCCTGGGGCCCCATCCTGAGCCTGACCCCCGGCTTTGCCTGACAGATGACCTCAGCTGCTGCCAATCCATTGGTTCCAGCTCCGGGGGGAAGGAAGAACAAAGCGCGCTTTGTGGCCGGCTGTCCCCTCGCCCGGCGCGGCTGCCTCCGGGACCCCCTCCGGAACTCCCGGCGACGCCCTCCGGCCGACAGCCGTGTAATGTCTTCCAGGCGCAGGCTCTGCACGCAGCCGCTGGGCCGCCTCCCTGTCCCCGAGCCGCCTCTGCGCTGAGGGCTGGCCCCCCGGTTCAGGGCAGGTGTAGCCACCTGACAGCCCCAAAGCACCACCTTAGGGTTAGCGCTTTTGGGTGGGAAACACTGAAGCGGTCGACGGAGTCCTTACTGCCGCTGTTTTGTTTTGCGGCTTGTCACATTAGACCGACAGTCCTGGGTTCCAGTGTCTGTTTCACTGACCAGCTAACCAGCTCTTTGAGAGCGCCGTCCCTCAGAGCAGTAAGGACACTGACTGTGCTAAGGTTGTCTTCCACCTTGAAGTGTCAGGATCACCTTGGCAGAAGTAGTGTTCACCCTCATTTAAAAAAGGAGAAACCCCAATTCCCAGCTACCCTGGTCATGAATGAACCTCTCCAAGTCTCAGTTTCCTACTCTCCCCACACAGCTGTCTTACCACTGTCCAGAGGAGCACACAGCTGGAAGCAGGTGCCTGAATGGGTCTATTCAGAAACCCAGACATTTTTAGGACTCTTAATGGAGGCTGCAGCAGCCCCTGGGCTTACAGAAAATCCAGAGGTTCTGCCCTGACCTAAAGACCTCTCTCTCTTAAGTAGCAAGTGCACAGTTGCTTTTTATTGTTGTTGTTTTGTTTTGTTTTGTTTTGTTTGTGCCTCTAAGTCATGCAAAGACACGGCCTGCCTGAGGCCACTGAGAGGAAAGGGGAGAAAGGCCAAGGCTTAACCCGGAGGAAGCGCCATCTTGACCGCCCAGGTGATGTGAGCAGACAAAGGGGTAGGACATTCTTGAAGGTGGAGCCGGGGTCTTCTTGAGGCTGGGACTATGGCATGAGCCTCACTCAGCAGCTAGTGCCCTGAGAGACTCAGTGAAGCACAGACACAGAGTGGAACCCACTTCCTGGGAGCCCAAAGAGTGGGGAAGGAGAGAAATACAGTTCTAAAAAACCCAAGAGAAAACGGTGTCCATGCCTGTAATCAGGGCTGAGTAGGCTGAGGCAGGGTGATTAGGAGGTCAGCATAGGCTACACAGAAACACCCTGTCTAAAAAGAATCCCAACCAACCAACTCCCCCCCCAAAAAAAAAGCATCGATGCCACCTTTATGGGAATTTGGAGGACTTGCTGGTGCCGTTGGGGGTCGCTGATCTTGAGTTTCTGAATTTGCTTTGTCTTACATAAAAGGAACTGGGAAATAAAAGAGAGCAAGAGGAATGGCTGAGCTCTCTCCTGGGGTGGGTGTGGGTACTGAGCGGCCCACTGTGCTGCTTTCTTAGCGCTGCTGGCTATCTCACCTGGGGGACTCTTTCCTGCAGGACAGCAGGGTTGCAAAGGGATCCTCTGCCCCTGGCTTCGGTGCCCTCTCCTGTTTTTCACACACTGTTTCCTGGGTTTGTTCTCCAAATGCAGCTCTTAC